ATGCTTTTTTGTGGGGGCACGAGGGTGAGCCGTGGAATGGGCTCAGGGTGAGCACCCGTGCAGCAGCTGCCTCCCTCTCCCTGCTGGTCAGGCTCCCGGCGGGTGACAGTGACCTCTGCATCTTCCTCCATCATCCTGGACCGGCCAGACACCTTCGGCAGCTTGCAGTTCCCCGAAGACCCCAGCACCCTGTGAGTCTGGGCTCCTGCCTACCCCGGGGACCCTGGCCCACCCTTGCTTCCCCTCATGGAGTGGGAGCAGAGCTGGTACCACGCTGCCTCTTGGAGGTGGCTGCTGGGCAAGCCTCCTGACACCAGTGTGGTGTCCCTGGTACCAGGCACTTCCCAGCCCTGCAGTGCCCATGGTGGGGAAGCCTTCCTGTGCCTGGTGTGGGATCTGTAGGTGATACTGGGAGCTCAGGGCTCCCCCCTGCCCAGTGCAGTCAGGTCCTGGGTGTTCCACATGTGTCCTGCTGTGGGGACTGAGGGGACTGCAGCCATCCCTGCTAGCTTTGATCAGGCTTCCCAGTGCCAGCCCCTCTGGGAGTTCATGCCACTGCTCTGGCAGATGTTACACCCCATCCTCCAGTACCAGCCCAGTGGTGCCAGTGTGCAGCTGCCTCCCAACCCATTGTCCCTGTCTGCTGCTTTCAGCCACTTCTTGGAGAAATGCGTCATGAATAACTACTTTGGCATTGGTCTGGATGCAAAGATCTCCCTGGAGTTCAACAACAAACGGGATGAGCACCCCAAGAAGTGCAGGTTGGCTGGAACCCCCACAATTTCCCCCAGAAAAAACTTGTATCCCTGGCTCTCCAGTGCCTGCACTAGGAGGGACTGTCAAGATGCCAGGAGCTGTGGGTGTGGCTTTGTGCTGCTATGCTGGGGACTCCTGCCTGCAGCAGATATTCACCTGCACCCAGTGCTGGGACGAGCACCCTGTGGGTGGGCAGCAGGCTGCAAGTACCCCAGGAAGTGTGAAATCATGAGGGCTTGGTGGGATTTACTCACTCTGCACCTGGGTAGAGGGACAATGCCATGCTGGCATGGAAGGGTCCACATCTGGGTGCCACATGCTGTGGCTTGGCTCTCTTGGGAGCAGGCAGCCGGCAGCCCCACTGCTCAGGAAGTGGGGAAACTGAGGCAGGGCCAGTGGCCCAGGATGGTTCCGCCCAGTGTCCCCAGGAGGGTGCAGAGCCCCCTGACCCTTCCCTCTTCGCCCCACAGCAGCCGCACCAAGAACATGATGTGGTACGGGGTGCTGGGCACCAAGGAGCTCCTGCAGCGCACCTACAAGAACCTGGAGCAGCGGGTGCAGCTGGAGGTACGGGGTCAGGGGAGCAGAGATAGGGTGGGGGGGTGGCATTGCAGCGGCCCCCCAGGCTCAGCCCTCTCTTGCAGTGTGACGGGGTGCCCATCTCGCTGCCCAGCCTGCAGGGCATCGCTGTCCTCAACATCCCCAGCTATGCTGGGGGCATCAACTTCTGGGGAGGCACCAAGGAGGACAATGTGAGTGCCAGTGCTGTGAGGTGGGTTGGAGGGGCATGATGTCCTTCCCACAGTCCCAGGAAAAACCCAGGGTTGGGGTTTTTCCTGCCTTGGACGCACACGGGGGAAAAAGCTGGGTCCCAGAATGAGCCCAGTTTGGAAGTCTTGCTTGTACTGGTCTTCTACAGAACTTTGGGGCTCCATCCTTCGATGACAAGAAGCTGGAGGTGGTGGCTGTCTTTGGCAGCATCCAGATGGCTGTGTCACGGGTCATCAACCTCCAGCACCATCGCATCGCACAGGTAGGGGCAAGGAACCTTGTGGGTGCCACCACCCCGGGCGGTGCCAGAAAGCTTTTGGGGCAGCAGTGGAGACTGGGGCAGTGCGGTTCCACTTGGCTCAGTTCCTGCCTGGCCCTTGCATGGCCCTGGGAGGCTCTTCAGCCAGAGGTGCAGAGCCAGCCACAATGCCAACCATGGGCTGTCCGCCCCACAGTGCCGCGTGGTGAAGATCACCATCCGGGGGGATGAGGGCGTCCCTGTGCAGGTGGATGGAGAGGCCTGGATCCAGCCACCTGGGGTCATCAAGATCCAGCACAAGAACCGAGCCCAGATGCTGACAAGGGACCGGGTGAGCTTGGGGTGCACAGCAGGACCATGCTGGGCCGCAGGGAGGTGTGACAGGCTCGGGGGGGCCATGTCTGTCCCCTGCAGGCATTTGAAAGCACCCTCAAGTCCTGGGAGGACAAGCAGAAAGGGGAGAGCTACCGAGCAGCCGCCCGACCACGGCTCAGCTCCCAGCAGTCCATGGAGTACCTGACGGAGGAGGAGAGCAGCCTCTTACAGCAGGTCTCGCGGGTTGCCGAGACCCTCATTGCCAGGTCAGACTGTGGGAAGCGGGATGTGGTGGGCACGGGGACGAGGGGAGAGCTGTGCTGTGGCCACGCAGAACTGCCTGCCCAGCCCAGGGGAGCCTGAGCAGCTCCAGCCCCTGTCACCCACAGGATCCATGAGGCAGCCAAGGCTCACAAAGCTGTGGAGCAGGAGCTGGCTCACGCAGTCAACGCCAGCTCCCTGGCACTGAGCGAAGCCCTCTCCAACAAAGCTGCTGGCACCTCAGAGGTGAGCTGGGGCTGGGAGTGCAAGGCAGCTTCCTTCACCCACCCTCCCAGGGCTCTGCTGCTCAATGGTTCCCCCTCTGTGCCCCCCAGTTCCTCAGCAGGAATGCGGCTGTGGAGGTGGTGCTGAGCATCAAGGAGCTGTACGCTGAGACCAGGGCATTCCTGGAGGGGAAGGCGGTGAGTGAGGGGCTGGGTAGCACCCAAAATCCCCCAACGGAGGGGCCTGTGCCCTTGGCTGGTACCTCTGGGGGTGGCAGCAGGGCTGGGGATGGTCCCTGTCCCCCACAGCTGGACTCACCACAGGAGGAGGAGGCCCTTCACGGCCCCCTGAATGTGCTGGGCCAGGAGCTGCAGCGGCTGCTGGACATCCACTGGCTGGGGCCCATTGCCCACCCTGCTGAGGAGGTGGGTGCACAGGGGCTGGGGGTTGTCTCCGGGGAGCTGTAGCACCCTGCTCAGCCTGGCTTCTTGCAGGAAGGTGCTGGCAGTGCCAACAAGGGCAGCTTCAAGCTTCGCCTCAACATCCCCAAACCCAGGAAGGAGAAGGACAAGCTGCAAAAGCAGAAGGCCAACAGCGCGCTCCCAGGTAAAGCGAGCAGTGTGCCAGGGAGAGACAGGTGCAGCCTCTGCTGACCTATCCCTTGGCCTCCTATCCTGGGCACGCTGTGGGAAGGGGTACAGGGCATGTCCTGGCTGCCTGGGGCTATCACCTTTGTCACCCATAGCCCCTTAAAGCTTACTTTTTCTGCTGTCAGACATGCAGAGCCCCCCAGCCCTGTAACTCCACTGCAAGGGGGAGAAAGGGGCTGTGGTACTGCTCAGCCCTTTGGGTAAGTCCCTCACCCAGAGCTGGGGGTCTTGTTGAGGGGGAGCAGCTCATTTGTTCTGTAAGTAAGCTACAGAGAGGACAGACCTCTCCAGCTTGAGCCTGCTGCAGCCTCTGGCCCTGCAGGAGCCAAGGGTGGGAGGGGGGATGCTTGCTGCTGGCTGCCTGCCCTGCTGCGTCCGGCTGCCTCCGCAGGCCCCAGGCCACCTCTGTGGTTTTCCTCCCTTGCTAGCAGAGAAGTGGGGCTCCGAGGAGGTGGCAGCTTGGCTGGAAGCGCTCGGTTTAGGGGAGTACAGAGACATTTTTGTCCGGCATGACATCCAGGGCTCAGAGTTGATCCTGCTGGAGAGGAGAGACCTGAAGGTACAACCCCCTTATGCCCCCTGAGGGACCCCCAGGCCTGGGGAGCATGGTGTCCTCCATCCCTCCTCTCCCCATCCCTCCTGGTGGTGGGGCAAAGGCAGGTGCTGACCCTCTACCTGGCCCCGCAGGGCTGAGCTTGCACAGCTTGCACACAGGGGCTGGAAGCAGGGGAGGGGCTGTCCCTAGTCCTCCAGCTTGCAAGGCTCCAACCACCTGCCCAAAGCAGGATCAACAGCACCCTGCCCTCTCCTTCACCCAGGCATGGGGACATGCTTGTAAGAGGACAGAGGGCTCCAAGCAAGCACCATGCTCCAGCAAAGAGAGCAGGGGGAGGTGGGCTGTGCAGCCTCGTCTCTGCCCTGAGGCTTCCCTGCCAGTGAGAGCCCAGGGCTGGCCCCTGCAGGTACATCAGCTCCCCTCTTTCCTTCCTGCAGGACCTTGGGATCACCAAAGTGGGCCACATGAAGAGGATCCTTCAGGCCATTAAAGAGCTCAGCAACCCACCCTAGGGCTGTCAGTGGGGCAGCAGCCCAGCCCTGGTGCTGGGTGGGTGCTGCTCACAGGGACCTGGGGGGCGGGTAAGGGAACAGATCCCTGCCCTGCCCCATGTGTGTGGAGCCCCCTCGCTTGCCTCGCTGTATCTGTCTGTCCCCACTGTCCCTGGAGCCACTGCTTCTCCCTAAGCCTGTGGGGCTGGAGACACTAAAGCAGAGGTCTAACCCCATAGATGATGTGGTCTGACCAACAGTCCAGCCCCAACAGGGTCACTACAGGAGCTGGGGCCACCCTCTCTGCGCCCAAGCTGGGGCCAAAGCAGTTTCCCCTTCCCCATGTGGGTATTTAAGCTGTGTAAATATTTGGAGAGAAGATACTCATTGCTGCTGCTCGTGTAGTGTCATTACTAAGGGGAAAGTGAGGGGTGGGGAGGAGGGAATTGGGAATCCCTTTCTGCCTTTCACCCCTCAGGTCCCTGCTTCCCCCATCATGGAACCCCCAACCCTGCTCTCACCCTCTGTCCCATTACAGCAAGGGGAAGTACAGCACTGGGGCTCATAATTGCCCCTGCCAGCATGTGTGACAGACACATTTTTTTAACAAACACATTTTATTAACAGTTACACATGACTTTTTTTTTCCCCCCCTCTTCTTCAGTTAAAATTACTATTATTTATGTACATGGTACCCCACCGCCCAAGGGCGCCCCGTTATTTACAGGCTTTATTTACAGAGTAGGACTAGCAGCTGGTGAGTGCCTTCTCGAGCTTGAGCATGTCCATGGGGGCAAGTTTGGCAACCTCAAAGAAGACCCTGAAAAGAACATGTTTGCTTAGAGCTCAGCCCCAGCCCTGACACCCATTCACCAGCACTCCCAGCTCCCCACAGCACCCCAGGGTGTGTGCTGGTGGGGCCACCCCCTGTGATGGGGACAGGCCCGAGACAGAGCCCATGACACTCACCTGTGTGAGTACTTGCTACGCACGGTGTTCAGCTTGTCGCGGGGCTGATACGTGAGCAGGAAATTCAGCCTCTTCACCAGGGGATGCAGGTCCTGGGCACTGTACCCACTGTAGTATTCCAGTGTAGGGGTCTGCAAGGGGACAACAGGGCTAAGCTGAGTCGTCTCAGTGACGAGACAGCCATCATCTTCCCTTTTCCAGCCCCCCAAATGTGATCATAGCCCTAGAGCATCATCCCACCCACCGGTCCATCGCCCCCCACATCCCCGAGGTGTCCCTCGGGGCACCTCAGCAGGGACAGGGGAGTAGGCAGGCACTCACCCAGCCCCCAAGGTTCTTCATGGTAAGCGCCAGCAGCAGGCAGCTGGCAGCCAGCTTTGAGGGGCTCTCACGGGCATAGTCGTACTCCTGCAGTGTCATCTCGCAGAGGAAGCGGGCCAGCGTCAGCGTCTCCATGGTGGCACGGGCACACTGCAGCCAGGGGGCAGGGAATCACCCTTTTAAGCAACACTGCTCCCCTCCCCAGCATCTTTGAGATCAAGAGTGCTGGCCCTGGGGCACAGGACAGAGACCCCACACCCTACCACAAGTCAGCATCCTCAACCCTTATGTCTCTTGAGGGGGCTGGACAAACCTTCCTTGTTGCCAGCTGGGAGCCTGAAGCCCTGGGAATGCCCATCACCACCCCCTGGAGGCACCCGGGTGCCAGCCCACCCTCCAGCTGCACCAACCTTGGCAAAGCGCCGCAGGAAGCGGTAGGGGATGGGGATGTTGATGTCGAACTTGAGGGTGCTGAGGATGCTCATCTCCATAGCCAGGAGCTCCTCCCGCTTGTAGGCATCATCACAGATGTAGAGGAAGTCATCCACGCACGGTGGGCACCGCTCCTGACAGGGCATAACTGCTCAGCACCCCAGTGGGGGCTTATTCTGGCTCCACTCAGGACATCCCACCCGTCCCACAGACCCTGTCAGGGTTCACACGCTGCTGGACCTCACAAGGACTGTTAAAACACCCCGTGGGGCTTCTGTGAGGTCTCTGCTGCCCCAGCCCTTAGCTTGAACTGCATGCTTGCATGAGGTGAACTCAGGTGTCCTGAGGGTCTCTGCAGAGCAGAGAGGAGTCAGGTCTCAGTGACCCCAGGAGACAGGAGCCAGCCCACCATGACTGCATTCACAGCCTTGGGACAGGAAGATGCAACATGAGCAGTGGCCTGGGACCTGGCCTTCTCCAAAACCCCACAGGGACCAGAGAGGCACAGCCCCTTCTGCCCCTGCTCCCCAGGACAGCGTGGAAGGAGTTACCTCGAATTTGGAGGCAATGAGGATGGCAGTGGAGCCGATGAGCTGCAGCTTCTCCCTCATGCTCACCACCTCCACCAGGTAGTGGTCCACCAGCTTCACAGCCAGGTATAGTGTCTCATGGTTCAGCTCAAAGTTCTCCTGTAAGGATGCAGGTGGGGGGCAGGACATGGTATCAGGCAGAAGCCTGGCCTACCCTGCCCCCTCAGCTCTCACAGGGGCCAGGCTCAGAGGGAGGGGTGTAGGCTCATCCCTAGCCCAGGGAGGGGGAAGATCAGCTTTGTACTGGAGACGCTCACAGGAGCTTCTGCCAGCACACAAAGGTCCCATGTAACAAAGGCATCATGGGGGGCTGTTCTGCAGAAGGCCATGGCCCCTCACCTGCACCTCCACCATCCAGTCCACAAGGATGGCACGCATGTCCCCAGTGATGTCCGGCTGTTTCTCCATGTAGTCAGGAAGCATGAATTTCTCCTGCCAAAGAACCAGCTATCAGACACTGGACAGATATCCCCCCTCAAACGAGCCCCTTCCCACCCTGTGCAAGCCTCCACCAGGTGCTCAGAGCCTCTGGGCAGTGGGTGGCCCTGCCCACACAGTCACCCCTTCCCTGGACAGGGCTGCCAGCCCCCTGGACAGGCATTGCCCACCTCTCTTTCCCGCATGTATTCGAAGATGTCCTTGGCATACTCTGCACTGGCATAGGGGTCACCCAGCTGCTCCTTGTCGATGTCCTCCACTGCTGGTACCTGCTGGGACAGAGGAAGCACCAGTAAGAGGGGGCCCTTAGCTCTGTGGGTGCTGGTCACCCCGTCAGGGCAAGACTGCTGCCTCTCTGCACTCCTTTTCCTACCTGCCCTCATCATCCTGCAGCCCCTGCCCCATTCTTTCCCATGAGAGAATTCTTGGATGAAGATGGGTGGGGGATTTAACCCCCCTCCCCAGCTTCCCATCATGCTGGCCCAAGCCTCTCCAAGGTCCAGAGCACTGCCTCGTGCCCTGTTGTCACCGGTGGCAGCCACAGACCAGTGCTGTGAAGATGAGCCTGGGGCCATGCTGCAGTCCAGGGTCCCTACCCTCTCCTTGGGGGGCTTCAGTTCCTGCACAGGTACTGGCTTCTCTGGAACAGGATCCACTTCAGGCTCTGAAGGAGCTTTTGGGGGAGTTTTCTTCATTGACCTGGGCAGGACAAGAGTATAAATCATTCCTGGGAGGAGTCCAAATCTCCTGGCAGAAAGGGGCTCTCCAGAGCCCCTTGCTGCTTCAGGAAGGGGCTAAACCACCCCTAAAATATCCCCACAGAGACTCTTAGAATCATTTAGGCTGGAAAAGACCTTCAAAGGCCAGGAGTCCAACTGTTCCCTGTAGCACTGCCACGTCCACCACTAAAACACGTCTCGCAGTGCCACATCCATATGGCTTTTAAATCCCTCCACGGATGGAGATTCTAGAACTGAGCCTGTACCAGGGCTGGACAACCCTTTAGGGGAAGAAATTTTTCCTAATATCCACCCTAAACCTCCCGTGGCACAACTCAATGCCATTTTATCTCCTGTTTACCGCCCACATCTGGCTCATGGTCTCCATCACCCAAGGGAAGCCTCTGCTACCACTTGTTCTTCCCTATGGGACAAGTTTGCAGGTGCTGCCCACTGCCCTGCAACAACCCCCTTGCCCACAGCTACTCACTTTTTCAGGTTGATCTCATTGTTCTTGGCCACCCCTAGTGTGCCCTGTGCCTTCTGAGCCTTGGGCGGTGCCACTTTCACGGCCTCCTTCTTCCCTGCCACCACCTGGTTCTTGCGAGCCTGTTTGGGTCAGAACAGAGGGGTACAGGGGCTGCACAGAGGGAAGCGAGATGTGCCCTGCAGGGAGACCTCTCCTCTTGCTAGTGGGGCGTGGGACATATCCCCACCTCCCGTGGGGGGCTTACAGGGGGCACCAAAGCCCCCATCCTCACACAAGTACTCACATTGGTGATGTCCCCAAATGCCGACCTCTTCTTGGGCCCACCCTGGGGCGAGGATGAAGATCTCTTGGCGTAACAGTTCTCTTCCTGCAATAGAGGCTGTTAGAAGGTGGTGGTCAGCTGCCCCACAGGAGCCCCCCTCCCACCCCTGGCCTGGCTCAGGACTCACCTTCTCAGGGTCAACATTCTCTGCTGTGGGGCCCACCTTGCCTGCCCGGGTCTGCTTAGTGGCCAGCATCTTGGCGTTGCGTGGCAGCGGCGTCCTCTCCCTCGGCAGTGGCGTCCTCTCCTTGGTCCTGCGCGAGCAAGCTGGGGGCAGAGCAGGGTGTGAGGCTGCTGTCTGCCCCCGGGGACACCCTCCCCCCCTTGAGGCAGAATAGGGGGGCATTTTGTCCCTCCTGGGGGGTAGCACAGCAGGGACTGACCCCCCACCCCTTCCCTGAGCATGGCAGGCAGGTTGTGCCCCAAGACAAGCCCAGGTAGGGAGCAAGTCTGGCTGCGGGTGCACCTCCCAAGAAGGAGAGAACATGGAGCCCTAAGACTCCCACTTAAAGCCCCCTGCAGGGATGCGGGGGGGCAGGGAGAGGGAGGCAGTTCCCAGCTTCCTGCACCCCAGAGAAGGATGCAAGGGCTTGTACTCCCTCGGAGACCCCCTCTCCCTTGCACACCCCGGGTGGTCTCAGTTACCCTCACTCCCCTGCACGCACCACCCGGGGGTGCCAGCGTCCCCCACTCACCTGCCCCCTCCCCTTCCGGGATTCCCCAATCCACTGCAGCACACCGGGGTGCTCGAATTCTCTGTTCACCCAACCCTCCCGGGGTTCCCAGCGCCCCCCAGAGCCCCTGTACCCACCCTCAGCCATTACCCGTCCCGCACTCCCCTATGCCCGGTACCCGCTCTCCCCCATACCCGTCCCACACCCGTTCCCGGTACTCGCTCTCCCCCGTGCCCTGTACCTTCACTCACCCATGCCCGGTACCCGCTCTCCCCATTACCCGTCCCACACTCACCCATGCCCGGCCCTCTCTCCCCGTACCCGTACCCTCACTCACCCATGCCCGGCCCTCTCCCCCGTACCCGTACCCACACTCACCCATGCCCGGCCCTCTCTTCCCGTACCCGTACCCACACTCAGCCATGCCCGGCCCTCTCTCCCCCGTACCCGTACCCACACTCACCCATGCCCGGCCCTCTCTCCCCGTACCCGTACCCTCACTCACCCATGCCCGGCCCTCTCTCCCCGTACCCACACTCACCCATGCCCGGCCCACTCTCCCCGCACCGCCGGCACCGGCACTTTCAAAAGTAGCAGTTCGGCAGCGGCCGGACCCCACTGGCCGAGCCTCGCCCAATCAGCGCGCGGGGCGGGGCTGGGCGGCGGCCAATCGGCGGGCGCGGACGGATGCAGTTGCTAAGGGGCAGGGCGGCAGGGTTTAAAATTCAGCCCGGGCGGCCAATGGGAGAGCGGGCCCGCGGAGGGGGCGGGGCGAGCGGCCGGCTGAGCGGGCGGTGATTGGTGGGAGCGGGTGCCGTTTAAATCCCTCCCTGAGGGGCCGGAGCGGGTGTCATGGCGGCAGCGCTGGCCGGCGTGGGGGCTCAGCGGCTGCCGCCACACTTCGGGGTTATTTAGCCTGGAGAAGAGGAGGCTCGGGAGCGATAGACCTTGTTTATCGCTCTTTACAATTCCTTGAAAGGAGATGTAGCGAGATGGGTTTCGGTCTCTTCTCCCAGGCAACCAGCAGTAGGACAAAAGGGCACAGCCTTACGCAGCGCCAGGGGAGGTTTAGGTTGGACATTAGGAAGAAGTTCTTCACAGAAAGGGTGATTGGGCATTGGAATGGGACACTGGGCATTGGAATGGGCTGCCCGTCCCTGGAGGTACTTAAGAAGAGACTGGATGAGGCACTCAGTGCCATGGTCTAGTAGACGGTGTTGTTGGGTCAATAGGGTTGGACTCGATGATCTCAGAGGTCTTTTCTAACCTAACTGATTCTGTGATTCTGTGAGCGACCTCTGTGGGTTTCTGAGTCCACTGCCTCTGCCTGCAGCTGGAGCTGTGGGTCCCCCACTTTGCCCCACACCCCTGACTGCAGGGCTGCCCTTTCTCGGGGCTGGGGTCTCTGGTTTGGGGGACAGGGTGTGCCCCGGGTGGGCTGTGCACCTCCCGTGACCTCCATCAGGAACGGAGGGTTCGGATCACTTGGAGAATCATGGAATGACAGAATGGTTTAGGTGGGGAAGGACCTTAAAGCGCATCCAGTTCCAAACCCAGCCATGGGCAGGGACACCTTCCACTATCCCCGGCTGCTCCAAGCCCCATCCAACCTGGCCGTGGACACTTCCAGGGGTGGGGCAGCCACAGCTTCTCTGGGTAACCCGTGCCAGGGCCTCACCACCCTCACAGGGAAGAATTTTTTGGAATATTTTATCTAACCCTGCTCTCACTGTGGGAGGTACCACAGGAGCAGTGCTCACGTGGTGTCCTACAGGCACAACAGACCACGTTCAGTGGCGAGGCTCGCTGGGACCACCCCATTCAAACCGGGATCCACAGCGACCAGGACAGGGTCAAAGTTACCAAATCATAGATCACAGTCCCTGTACTATGAGCTATATGTGATACTGGCTGCTTACCAAAGATCTGCCGAGGGTCAGAGTTCTCTGTGCCTCAAGGAGCAGCCTCGAGAGCGTCGTGGCTCTGGAGGACACCCCTGCCATGGAGCCGGGAATGCTCAGAGAAGGCTCGCTCAAGGCTGTCATACTCATGGGATAATGTGGTTGGCTTGTAGTCAGCTTCCATGTGTCAGGAAAGGAATGCATGAGACTCCTCACACCCTATTGCTTTGTTCCTTGATAAACGAGTCTTGGAAAAGTCACCCACTTTTCGTGTGTCAGTCGCATGATTGATGTTCCAGGCTCATACATTTGATGCTCACTGTATCACTCTGCTCCTTCGTGGCTTTCCAGAGAACATGTTGGAACTAGCACAGTCCTTGGCTCATGTGCCAGTACCGTGTGGGGGTCCCGTGCCCTCAGCAGCTCTGGGGGGCTTTAGCACTGCACTGAGCTCTGGCTCAAGCGAAGCCCCCACTGAGGTAAACTCAGCAGAGCTCTGTGCTACAGCAGAGGAGAGCTTCCCCCAGCCACCAGATTCCCAGAAAAACTTTGCAGATTCCTAGGTTTAGCCCAAGAAAATCCTTTGGTATAATCCCACACCCATGTGCTACTGTTGCTGGTGGGGCCAGGGAAGCACTCCAGTGCCAGCATCTGAGGGGATTTAAACCTGCCACCCAGGGTCCACGTGGGCAGGATCAGGCACACGGCTTGGGCTGTGTGCAGGCAGCTCTGCCACGTCTCCAGCAGAAAGACCTGGGACATGGACAGCCAGGAGCACCAGAACGACTTTGGGGTGCAGCACAGCTACGGGGTGCTCACAGGGCCAGTGGGGGTTTAAACCTGGGTCCCACTGATCTTGGGTCCCTTCAGTTCCCAAAACTGGTTCAGGACTGCTGCAGCTCCAGCCCACCCTGTGCCCTCCTTGGCCACTTGTCCTCTCCAGCCCCACCTATCCCAGTGTCGCTGCCGCTGTCCCTGGCCTGGGAGCTCTCTGAGGCTTGCTCGCTGTTGTTCTGGGATCCTTGTGGGATCTAGGTGCCTGCCTGGATCCTTATGCATGTTGGGGCAGTGTATAGCCCAGACAAAAGTATGAGTTGGATGCATACTAGCCAGGCAGAGCCAGGACAAATCCCACCGCCAATGGAAACATGGTGCATTGCCCTGTGGGGTAAGATCCTCAGCCAAAACCCCCATCCAACTCTGCCCATGGCTCTGTGGGGGCTGGGGTGAGCTGCCTGCTTTGGGACAGGTCTATGTCTGCCTGTCCTGCCCAGGCTTGGCATGGGGAAGCCGGCTTTTCCAGTCTCCACAGCGCTGCTGTGCTGGTGCTCCTTGGGAGGCTCTTGGGAAGCCCAGCCCTGCTGCAGGGGCTGTGACTTGCACCATACGAGCTGAAATCCCCCCCAGCCATGGGGGGTATGGGAAGAAAGATGAGGGGAGCAAGAAGTGCAAGGTGATGACGTGGGTCTGCAGCAGGAGCTGTGCCAGCTGGCACATGGAGGGAAGGCTGTGATTCTCAGCCCTGCCCATCATCAATGGATCTGGGGGCCGGTTGGAGGTGAAAGCCCCTCAAGCTCTCCTTGGGCTCTGCTGTTTCCTCAGCAAACACGCCAATCAGATTGGATGCAAGTCCTTGGCTCCCCCCACTAGGCTCTGCTGTGTGCTCGCTCAAGAGCATCTGTGCCTAGTGTGTCCCTATTGTGAGGAGAGCTGGGTCACTGCTGCCATCCAGCCTCTTCCCACAGCACCACAGAGCTGCCTTTCAGAGCTGGAGCAGCCCCCAGCCCTAGCCCAGCTCCCTGGCACTGCAGGGCTGCCAAGAAGCCCCTCTGCGTGGCATCTGGAGACCTTAGCTCCAGGATCGTTTACCAGACAGGGAGCCTCAGGCTCAAGAGAAGCAGCAAGGACAAGGAAGCATCATTCATGGAATCCACACAGGCTGCTTCTCCCCCATTTCCCTTCCCCAGGCTGAAACCTTATCCTTTCCCATGATAAAACAGGCCCAACTTGTTGCTCCCCATGGCCCAGTGCCAGCACTGGTAGAAGCCAAGGAGCTGCTCTGCACAGGGAGGGCTGAACTTTGCCTCCTCCTTTTTCTCCTCTTTTCACTACTAATGGCCGAGGTCAGGGAGGGACATTGAGTCCAAAAGCTGTTGCATTTATTTATTGGAAAAAGCCCCAGCAAGTTAAGCCAGGGGCTTTCCTGACAGTGGGGAAAGCACGAAGGAAAGCACAGAGCAAGGCAGGGTGACAGAGTTCCTGAATGCCCTCAGGGAGGTGAGAGCCAGTGCTGTGCTGAGGTGCTCCAGCCCAGGGAGCAACTCCCCCAGGGCACCAGGGCTGCATGGCATGCACCTTGGTGGAGCTGTGCTGGGTGATGCCCCCTGTGCTTGCCCACCTGCTCCACCTGCATCCCCACCATGTCCTGGCCATTCCTGCCTCTCTATCTACGCTCCTTGAGTACAGGATGTGTTTGCAGCACCAGGGGTGGAAGCCAGCACCCAAGGAGAAATGGGAGCAAACACCCTCAGAGGGCTGAGGGTGGGCTCGGCTGAGCAGGGTTAAACACTAGAGCCACATGATGCGAGCCAAGAACAGGGAGGTTAGCTTAGGGTTAGCGGCGTGTCTGTGGCAAAGGAGCCATCCCACAGCCCCTCATCACAACCAGGGACCGCATCTCACTCCCAGGTTAGAGGTTTCCAGGCTGGTGGAGTAGTGGGCTGATGGATACACTGGAGCTGCCGTGACTCTGCTGCGGCTCGGGATGTGCAGTCACCTCACGGAGCCCAGACTCTCATGTCTCTGATGTCGGGTCCCACTGCTGAGCCTGCACCCCCTGCTGCTCCCCACCCATTTTCTTCCAGTCCTTATTTGGTGGCTGATTTGATCTTATGGATGGCATACGGGCTGGACTCCTTGGGCATCCAGATCTCCTCCCCGCCGTAGCCCTGGTGATCCACCGCTCCCTCCATGGCTGCTGTCAGCTCAGGGCTGAAGATGCTGTCGGTGGCCCGGTAGGTGCGGGTGAGGCGGCGGAAGGAGGAGTCTGAGGAGCTGTCGTCAGGAAGGTCTTCATCCTGCTCATCCCGCAGCTTGGTCCTGCCCAGCTCCGAGCTGCTCCCCAGCTCTGGGTCTTTGAGAGCCTCCCCCACCTCCTGCAGGAAGGCCGTTTTGGGGCTGATGATACACAGCAGCAGCATGAGGCCTCCTGAGACCCCGCAAAGAAAGTAGAGGCCGACTTTCTCTGGGACACCTGAGGGGAAGAGCAAGGAGACACACCAGGGTACAAACTGCTCTGCAGCCTGCAGGTTACCAGTGCCTGCAAACCCCCTCTGCCAGGCATATGGGAGTAAGAGGAGAGGAGCAGGGATGCCCTCAGCATCCAGGCTGCAGGGGTAGGACAGACCCTGCCCCAGTCATCATGGGAGTGGCACTCAGAGCCTCATCAGCACCCACCAGTGTCCCAAAATGTGCCTTTCCCCATAGAATCCCCCCTTGGTATGTGGAGAGGCAGAGCAGGGGAAAGAATCATCTCTTCAGGAATTAAATGAGTAATTTCCTCTGGCAAGGGAAGTTTTTGCCTGCAGAGAGGTGCTCTCTATCAGTGCCTGCAGACAGGGCAGGAGGGAAGGAGACCAAATGGGTAATCTGGCCCGTTGGAAAGGAAAGATCCACAGGCAGGACCGCAGCTGCACTGCAACTGCCGATGCTGAAGGTCCTCAGGCCTTGTTCAACCCCTGAG